AACTTTGCGATCCACATTATACCACAGGGTCGGGCATTCATTTCACACTTGCTACACCTCCTAACGGAGACCCCCCACGACAATACTCACATTCACATCGATGATAATGCCAAAGCAGACTTACGGATGTGGGGCAGATTTCTTTCCTCCTGGAATGGGAGGTCAATGTTCATACGCCCACTCGACGTAGATTCCCCGGTCGTATGGGTTTGCGGCCATATACAACAACCAGTGGTTCCATGACTCCTGGCCATCTGAAACCTCAACATTACAGGCATTTAATACCACATCCTCGCTTTTCGTACTCTACCCAATAGTGGCAGCCGCACACACTTGGTATTCGTTGTGGGAGGGCAAAGCAGTTAAATGCCTCTCCGACAACGAAGCCACATGCGAGATCATAAACAAAGGCAGATCCGCATCCCTAGTCATCATGAGACTCATGAGGAGACTCACGTGGCTGGCAGCAACTCACAACTTCCACATGGTTTGCATGCACATACCAGGTCGGGTAAATATTGCAGCTGACGCTCTCTCTCGCTCCAACTTTCAGGCCTTTTTGGCAATCAAACCCGAGCCAACCCCCACATTTCAGGACCTGATAATGGACTGATACGGCTGAAACAACATGCACTAACCTTGGCAAAAGCTGCTCTGTCAGACAACACCAAGAATCCTACGATAGAGCACTTACTATTTTCTCCAGGTTCACTTCCAAACACCACATCACCAACACCTTTTCCATCGACACGATAGTTGCTTTCACTGCTCACTGCCACCTACACCTTAAGCTGGCACATAACACCATCAAACTTTACCTCACGGGCCTACAGCACCACTTACTCACCTTATTTCCCTGTCACAAACCTTTCATGTCATCCTATCTCCTGAAAAACGTCCTGAAAGGTATACTTCGCACAGACGGCCCTCCAACAGCCAAAAGACAACCAATTGACGGGAATAAATTTAAGGATCTATCAGATCTGTTAGATTCCAGCCCATTTGAACCTAGTACTAACTGTGTACTCAAAACAGCTATGTACATAGCATTCTACGGGTTCTTAAGGCCCAATGAATTCACGGTGCATAGTCTATCTGTCAACACAAGTTACATCAGAATAAGGGATCTACAAAAATTGGGGGACCACTACGTACTGCTTCTAAGACAATCCCAAACAAATCGGGTGGGACCTCCTACAGAGATCCAGTACTTCCCGACCCATAATAAATGGTGTTCAGTGACAGTCCTAGATACTTTCTGCCTTTCCCTCAAAGACAAACAAAGCTACTCACCCCTACTCACAGTTGCCGACAAACCCCTGACCACGGCTAAATTCATACACTACGTAAGGGCCTTAGTGGTCAGACTAGGTCACGATCCCATGTCCATCTCAGGACACTCATTTAGGATCGGCACCGTTTCAGCTGCATCCAGCAATAACGTACCCGTACACAAAATTAAAAAACTAGGAAGGTGGAAATCAGCAGCTTACGGCAAATACATTCCACAGCCAGAAAAAGAACTTAGGAAAGCTTTCAATGAATTACTCATGTGAATTTATAAAGCATTAAAGTGTTCTGCTTAAAACCTTTTTGCCCTCATTATTTCAGGCCTACCCGACCATTGGTTCAGGCACACCACAACCAACTAGCAATCATCAACAAATGTTAAGGTGGAGCCTGTAGTTGTGGGAGGGGTTTACCGGCCTATTTATACCCAGACCTACCTCTAATCAGGGCCGAGATTTTTAGATATATTCAAATATAGCGCTACATCTACCTTTCATTTTTCAAGTTCTATTTTAAAAGATATTTTGATGTTATAGCAGCTATTTTATGATATATTCCTTGTGCATTGTCAGAATATTTTGAAATATTAGCGCTGGTACACCTCCTTTTCTCACTTTAAAATGTTAATATGTAGAAAGTTAATATAGCATTTTATGAGTTTACATATTGCTCTCCACCCACGGTACTTTCTTTTTTAATCTATTTCAGAAAACCCTTCACACTTTTAGAAAATAGTTAACTGTACTCTAGCTGCAAACAGATGTGCTATATCTTGAACCTGGAAAGGTGCTAATTATTTTAAAAACAATCTGCTTAATTAAATATTAGCTGTTAAAAAATGTTTGGCTTACCTTTGAAACACACGACAGCTCATTGCAGACAAAGATTTTGCACTCAAAGATTTTCTTGAAGTATTGCAGAGAGAAAAACACTCTTGAGACTTTTCAGTGTTGATTATGTAGCCATTTATTATATTGGTAACTTTTTCATATAGCATAGCATGGTCCAATGGTTCAGTCTTTGGACTTTTATGAAGACACAGTGAAACTCATATCTTGATTTTAAATAGAGGCCGTAAAGAAGAGAAGAAAGATGCTGACGTCATGAAAACAAAAACTGACAGATTATATTTGTAACACTTGAGAATATACCGTGAAATGACAGAATGAAAAAAATACCCCCGGAAAAAAGTACAAGGAAAATTGAGAATAAAAGAAAAGAGACCAACACTGATAAAACTCATCTTAGCCTTGAGGGCTACATAGAGCATACTGTATAAATGTGTTCAGCGTTAACTACATCTACATAGAATCTACATAGAATAATGCAGACTAAGTGTGTAAGCACAGTGTTGCAATTAAATATAAAAACATATAAACATAGAATATGATGGCAGATAAGAACCATTTGGCCAATGTAGTCTGCCCAATTTTCTAAATACTTTTATTAGGTCCCTGGCCTTATCTTATAGCTAGGATAGCCTTATGCCTATCCCACGCATGCTTGAACTCCTTCACTGTGTTCACCTCTACCACTTTAGCTGGAAGGCTATTCCATGCATCCACTACCCTCAAGAAAGTTTGCTGAATATTGAATAAGAAAATTAAACTGAAAAACAAAACAAACAAGTTGGTGGTGTGAAGTATCAACTGTGTAATTACAATAATCCGTAAAGTGTGTGGTATTATACATAAAAAAGAAAACAATGGGGGGAAGTAAGGGAACAGCGCACCGAAGCGTTCATCATTTCCATCAGCTCCGATAGTTCCGAGCACAATCTACTCAATATCGCCCGATCTCCTAACCATTTGCTGACAATCAGGTCGTGCACATTCTAGAGCCATACTGCTGATCCAGCAGATGCCTTTCTTTCTTTCCCCCAGCAAGAAATACCATTGCAAAGCCTTTAAGGCCTACCACGTAGACGGACGACCCCAGGAGTATACCCTGGAGTGACATACGGCTGCAACACTCACTCCACAAAGTGACCCCTTTACCCCTTCTGAGTTGGGACGACGGTCTCAAAAAACGCTGCCACTTGCACACAAACCACATCGCGACATAGGCCTCATGTTTTAGCCTCCCATACCGAGCCTGAACATGGCCCCTCCAGAGGCCTCACCCACGAAATCCATTGACGGGAACTCAATACAGAGTCTATCTACCATTACAACTGATCGGGAAACCCCATAAGCTGCTGGAGAATCGGCACCTGCCACTAAACAAGACATCTAGGTTATGCTGACTGGGCTTCAACAAAATCTCAGACAAATGTGGGAAGCAGACTTAAAAGTCCTCACCACTGAGGTAAAAGCTATTACAGGCCACACCCAAGTCACAGGAGTAGAGGTATAGGGCTTAAAGCAAGATGTGGAACCACTGAACGACAAGATGCACCAACTGCAAACCTTGCATACCAACCTCACTCAGCAAGTTATTCTACTAAATGACAGAGGTAGATGAAAAATTTTGATATTGATTTTTTCTAGACAATTACTCAACAAGACTGAGCAGCCAAGTTGAGTCAGACTCTACTGTTATCTGACCAACTGCTGCTCAATGTAACTTGTCTGCTACTGTGATTGCTCTGTTTATTAAATGTAATAAACTTTTTGGAAAAAAAAAGAAAATTTTAAATTTGGTGAAAGTTGTCCTTGGCTGTTTCCGAGCAGGGTGATCTTTTCATATCCCTGCCTGCTAAGTGAAGACCCCCCTCACTGCCAAAGCTACAGGCGCTGACAAGGGCCCACTGGTCCCAGCCTGAGCCTGCAGATGCCTAGTGGATAATCCGGCTCTGATCTAATGATTTGTTTTCTGGGAAAAACAAAACTCACATGGAAGGAGAAGAGCCAAAATTCTAAACTGTGCTGTTGCCCTCAATGTTTGGATGGTATAGAGGATATTGCAAGGATGGTGAAGCAGGGTTCCAAATTGGGATTGTCTCACTGGATGGTTAGAAATGATATATTTTGCCATCCTGCCAACTGGGTATGCTAGAGTTTCTCACTTACTCCAGATGCCTACTGAATGACTCCTTACATATTTTTTAGAGGTATTTATGGAGACTGTGAGAAGTGGAACACTTCTGAAAGAACCTAATAAGGCGGTACATAAATCCAAACTTAGAATTACACTACAACATCTAGGACACATGGAAAGCTTGAGAAACACGAGGATATATATTTTTTTAATTCATTCATTTAATATATCCAGTTTTAGTAGTTGACGCTATATCAATAGATTAAAATAATGAATTCTTTGATTTCACTCAACATTCATATTGCCAGCACTTTTCGTGTACAGCCTGTCCAAAAGAAAACGTGAAATGGGTCCAGGGAAACATGGCGGATCTCGAAGAACTAAATGGTGGAGCAAAAAAAAAAAAAAAGCTGCATAATTCTGCAAATGGAGAGACATTTCTCATTACCGGTAATTTAATATTTAACAAATAATCTATGAACATGGAAAGGTGGCCATTTTTTTTTTTTTTTTGTTAATATTTTTCTTTAATGCTCCTGACACAAAATAAAAATTAAAAAAAAAAAACAAGACGCAGAAACAATTAAATAACTCTGACATTCAACGTTAAAGTGAAAAAGGAATGATATAAATAAACAAGAATGATAAGGTCTAAAATGTGTCCTTGGTTTTTTTTTTTTTGGTTTTTTTTTGCCCTCACTAAGCATGGCCAACAGCCATTTCCGCCCACACTCCGCTTGCCGCATGACGTCAGACGCAGACCGGTTTCCCGTGTAGCAGTGACGTTGTCCGGCAAAGTTTTTGGGCGGCGCCGGTGACGGAGCACGGAAAGTTTTGGATTCGGGTCGTGCAGCTTGGGCGGTGGGAGGACCGGGATCCTTCCACATGAGTAACAGAAAGGTGTGGGAGGAAGGGAGGGGGGAACGTAAATCTACTGACCGCATGCCGGTCTGTGAATAACATCATTAACCCGCACTGCACCGGGTGGGACTGTATGAAAGGGAAGGGTTAATTAAATATTTTGATGCAAGTTTGAGCGGTGCGGTGGGTGTTTTGGGTGCCAGCAGGGATGGAGGTGATTTGCAGGGAGGAGATAGGGTGGCTAGAGAAATGTGGCAAAATGACCAACCCATTGATGGGTTATGGGGCAAGACCTGTAGGGTGTACGTGTCAGAGGACCCTGTAACTAAAGTATGATTTATTGAGAATTTAGAGGGAATTCTATGTGTGTGTTTTTTTTTTTTTTTAATTCTTGGTGGCAATAGTAGAATTGTAAAAATATCAAGCCGGTTAAATTTAGATTTTTAGCTGGTTTTGCGGAAGATTTGATCTTCACTTTCAATCCCGGTCAAGTTACGTTGCAGAGAATAGCGCTCTGAGTGTTGGAGATATGTTTTTTTTTTTCGCAATGTGTCGTTATGGAATTCTGGATTTGGATATTCTGGAACATTGGATGTGATGATAGTATTCCAAAAGATTCCACTCATGGATTGTTTGGTTTATCTGGAATTGGGTTTTCATAACTTCTTGGACTTTTTTTGGACCGCGTAGCCAGCCTTTGAAATATTGCTTTGTCTTGCATGCTTTTTGGTTTTCATCTTAACTTTGACATGGTTGGATTGCTTTATGATGGTTATATTATTATTTTTATTTATATAGAGCAAATTCCGTAGCACCGTACAATGAGAACCATATCACTTCTGACATGATATGAAAACATATTATTCCATAAACTTTTCTTATTCTTAAATCAGGTATTCGTTTCAAGGTGATTCAGCTCATGGTTGGAAAGGTTGACACATGATGTAATAGGTTGATGAATTACGGGAAGATTATTATTATTATTACTGTCTATTATAAAGTGGCAACATTCTGCAATGCTGTGCAGTTGCGGGGGAAAGAGAGTACGTTATACACAATTACAAAAGGTAAAGAGGGTCCTTCTCTTGATTTGAGATCTGGCCACTAAAGCACTTTTTTATACAAAGTTCTTGACTAGATAGCCCTTGAGCTTTTGATCTAGCGACAAAGATGCACTCTGGTTTGAGGCTTTCAGAACATTTAAAGAATTGCAGATTTTGGATATGGTTTTCAATGTAGTTTTGAGTATAGATGGTTGCTTAATCTACACGAGGTTGAACGGCCTGTCACTATAATAGCTAATCAATGTGAGAATGGATAGATTTGTATAGTAATAGGTTGAAGAAGAATTTTTGGCTATTGAGGGTTTTTTTTTTTTTTTGGTGTGTGATGGATTTCCAGAAGCATTGGGAGAACTGTAGGTGACATTGTTTTCAGATCTACAATTATGTGGAGTTGGCAGATAGAGAATTTAATAAGAGGATGCCTAGATCACCTTTTAAAAGACTGATGTTACCCAGTGTGACATTAGATGGATTGAGTTTGTGGTTTAGTTCTCTAGAATGTAAGCTCATTGAGCAGGGCCCTCCACCCCCTCTGTTCCTGTGTGTACAGTTGTCTGGTTACAATTACATGTCTGTTAGTCCACCCATTGTACAGTGCTATGGATTCTGATGGCGCTATATAAATAATAATGTAGGGTTGGTTTTTCGTAGGTGGTTCATCATGTTAAAACGTACGATAGGAGTTGTGGTTGTGTGTGCACCCTGGTTTATGTGGTATACTGTAGAATAGGTAAAAACAGGAGAAATTCAGTGTTTGTAAAATACTAATATACTTCAGTAGGCAGCTTAATCGCCAAACCTAAGGTGTCTCTCTTGTGAAAGGTATGATAAAACACGGGGGTAGGTGTAGTGCCTGAAATGTCCATCGGATATATATGCAGCGACAAGAGGAGAAATAACTGAAATGGATAGTTTAGCAAGTTAAAATCTCTTAAGGAAATAGAGGTTGATAACCTTTTCACTCACACTTTTGAGGAACTTGGATAAAATGTACACCAGCAGGTGTGGCGGTGGTTTGCATGGAGGAGATAGGATGGCTGTAGAGCTATAGCAATGTAAGTTTCCTTTTAATGGGTTATGGCACTAAAACCTGTCGATTCCACCTTAAAAACATCGCCCACATCCGCCCCTTTCTCACGCAAGATGCTGTCAAGGAGCTTGTTCATACTCTGGTAATCTCTTGCATGGATTACTATAATTCTCTCCTAGTTTGTCTTCCCAGAAGCTGAACTGCCCCGTTGCAGTCCATAAAGAATGCTGCTGCGAGGCTGATCTTTCTCACCCGTCGCTCCTCCCATACCTCGCTCCTCTGTCAAAATTTACACTGGCTTCCTGTATCCTTTAGGTGTCAATTTGAAATACTAACCCTTACATATAAAGCTCTAGCCCCTCTTACATTTCTTCACTGATTTTATAGATATTCCCGTTCCCGGGCTCTCCGCTTTTCTGGTGACCTCCTGTCCGCTGCTCGCACAGTTACTAACTCGCGCTTGGAAGACTTCTCGTGGGCAGCTCCCTTACTTTGGAACAGCTTTCTTGCCCCTATCACACTCTCCCCTAGTCTTCAATTATTTAAAAAGTCCCTCAAAACACATCTGATAAGAAATGCTTATGGACTCCCAGAGTAACTTATCTATACCTATACATATCTGTCTCTTGCTCTACTTAAGAGCCACACTCTCCTCCAGGGATGCTACTTTTCCAACTTGTTTGGGGGCTGTCACCCTTGCTGCCCTGTTGTGTATTTGTACCCCATCTCTTTGTTGTATAATATTTTCCCCAACACTCTTCTAGACTGTAGGTTCATTTGAGCAGGGCCCTCATCTACCTATTTTTCCTGTGTCACTGTGTAATTGTCTCATTTATTGTAAATGTCCCCCCTCCCCCCCCCTTCTTAATATTGTAAAGCACTGTGGAATTTGTTGGCCCCCTATAAATACCAATAATAGGGTGTCCATGTCAGAGGATCCTCTAATTAAGAAATGAACTATTGTGAATTTATAGTGAATTCTATGTGTATTTTTCTTCATTCTTGGTGATGGTTAAAGAGGGTAGTAGAGGACATTTTATCATGGGGTGAGTGGCTTTTGTGTCTCCTGCCATGATACAATGGATAGAGGAATTATGGAATTATTTTAGTTTTCATTCATCAAGTAAGGTTCTTGCCCACCTCTATCCAAAAGTCCTCTTCCAACCAGTGACTTTTTTTCTTTAGAATGGTTATATCACAGTACTTGCAGTACCACTGATTGATATGTAATGGTCCTAAATTCAGATTCTTCTAAATGCACTAGTTAGGAGTGCAGTCACCATTGTTATGGTGACATGTTGAGGAGACAGTTTACTTGTTGGGATTGTAAAAGTGTGAGAACATATGAATTATAGGATGGGTTTATTTGGTGTTAAATTATTAGTTTTAGTGAGTAGATTGTTTCAGTGGTTCAGAGTGGGCCATACCTTGCTCTGTTTTTATAGTTTACAGCAGTAAGTGTTTGTCCGGAACTGAACTATGTTATTCAGTTTAAAAATATGTAAATGTGTTTGTGCTGGTAAAATCAGTGTGAATGGAGCTTTTTCATGTTTCAGGACAGTTGACTCTCATTTAATATTGTGGGAATAAATTTAATATATATCTGTGGATGTATTTTGTGTTTCAACTGGTGCATAAGCGTATGTAAGCACTTGACTTGGTGTGTGTTTTAGATGTGGGATGCCATTAATTCTATAAATTATGGTGAGCACAAAACAATTAAAAAACAAAAACAAAATGAATCACGAGTTTCTGATAGTTCCTATTGCCTGTCTTATCAGCACATGTGGGTTAGTTTGCTCCCGGTGCTGAATGGACAGTTAGAAGCTTTGCAACTTCATCTTCTGTTTTAAACATGACTATGAATCACTTCACTGTACTTCTCAGCTATAGAATACAAATAATGAATACATTAACTGAATTTACATCATGATGAATATGCATGATCTGATTATTCTCATGTCTGCGGTGCACATGAACATTCATTTAATTAATATTCTGTCTTATCAAGAAATATCATCGTCAACTATGCCGAAAAAGCTAGAGAATAACCATTTGTTTAGTGTTGTATTAATGCAAGCTTAGCAGATCTGTTTGTTTTTCCTTTTAATATTAAACCTTACATTTTCTGTTGTGAACATCGTTTTTAAACACAATAGTGTGTGTTAACACATTTGCTGCTTTCATCTAGCTAATCCTTCTGGTCCTTGTGTCAAATGTGGGTACAAAGATGATTTGTATATATGAACATATTATATGCATTTAAGTGTGTGTGTGTATTTGTTTTGTTTTTATTATTTATTTGAACACAAATAGATAAAAGCATCAACATTTAGTTTTACTGTGGTGCAAACTACTGGCATAATCATTAATAATGTAAGGAGGGTATTACTTGATCATTCTGCAATAGGCAGTCTCTCATCCAAACTCCAGTTTCAGAAAAGCTCTAAGGCTATCTAATGTAGAAAAAGTGATGTTGCGTTTGTAACATTTACATTCTACTGTGCCTTTTGCATACTTTTTGTTTGTTTTTTAATCGGTGTAAAAGGAATCCCACTACTATACTTTTTATTTTATTTTTATTTTTTTTAATTTTAGAAAAACCTTTTTAAAGTTTAAACCACTTAGAAGAGGGAAACCGTGGATACGGAGATAAGATGAGGATTTTTTTAATGTTTTATCTGATGCTTCCTTGCAACTTGGGTGAGTTTCTTAATGAAACCCATTTGGACTGTTGGATAGGTAGCATATTTTACTATATTCTACAAATTTTAAATCCATTGTTTTGCTTTGTTTCTTTCAAAATTCAACTTTTTTTGTTCCTGTGTGTGTAATGTTTGAATAACTTTCTGATTTTCCCTAAAGCTTTGTTTTTCTTGCCTCTAAACATCTTCCTTAGCCCAATCAAACAAAAAAGGTTAGCATTGTCTTGAGTCTGTAAAAAAGGGACAGTTAGAGAGGGTGGGAAGGGTTGTAAAAACAGTTTTTTTTTTTTTTTTTTTTTTTTTGTTTTTTCTCTTTAAAAACAGCCTTACTAGTGCTGTGGTGACAGCTTTTCTGTAGAGAGGAAGTGAATCTTGTGTATACACCCAGCTGTCTTGTCTGACTGTTTTGATTGTGTGGTACTCATTAAGCAGTTTGCTTTATACTTATTACATTTGATATCTTAAAGGGATTCTCCAGGCAAACAATTTTACTTACCTGGTTCCAGCGCCGGTAGCCTTGTGAAGCGGCACCCCCTATTTCGTCAAAATGACGAAATAGGCGGGCGCGAGCAGGGAGCAATCAGACGCTTCCATTGTGCGCATGTGCGGCTTCATGCCACCCTCTGAAGTCCTGAGCGCACTACTCGCGGCCGCAAGCTGAGCTGACTGACAGCTCAGCTCGCGGTCTTTGCCCGCCCCCTCTCCTCTGCTGACAGGCAGAAGAGAGAAGGTGCACACACAGTGCCTTCTCTCTTCTGTACACGTCAGATGTATTTTAATACGTCTGACGTGTACAGGGCCTTTTTAGGGCCCTGTATGATAGGAAGTCCCTCTGGTGGCCGTCTGAGTGACGGCCACTGGAGGTATTCTTATCAATCAATGTAAACACTGTATTTTCTCTGAAAATACAGTGTTTACATTAGATTGCCTGCAGGGAGCTATAGATCTCCCCTGAACAACTACATTAAGCTGTAGTTTTTCAGGTGACTATTGTGTCCCTTTAACCTATGTCAAGTATCCATTTTATTATTGAAAGGTTCATGGTGGGCAAAAAAGGTTAGAGGAGTTAATAACTTTTTATTATTAATTAACTAATTTCAATGTATTACATAGTGAATCCTTAACGTATGGAGATTTGTTTGACGAGGTACAGAAGATGAGCTTCATTTGTCGCCTCGCAAAGTGTTACACAAAGGGCATTTTCGATTGCATTGTTCATAATATTAGTTGTTCGAAGCTCTATCGCTCTATTCTCTTCCCGGATATTCTCAAGTCTGTGCGGTTTGTTCACGTACACCCGCTCCCTCAGATATCCCCACAGGAAGTAATTACCGTATTTTTCGCTCCATAAGACGCACCTAGTTTTTAGAGGAGGAAACCCAGAAAAATATTCTGAACAAACTGTCCCATAGTGTTTAACACCCCCCTCCTCCCCTCCTCCCCTGTCCCATAGTGTTCCTTACCACCCACTCCCCTCTCCTGTCCCATAGTGATCTTTAACCCCCCTCCCCTGTCCCATAGTGATCATTAACCCCCCTCCCCTGTCCCATAGTGTTCCTTACCACCCACTCCCTTCTCCTGTCCCACAGTGATCTTTAACCCCCTCCCTGTCCCATAGTGATCATTAAGCCCCTCCCCTGTCCCATAGTGATCTTTAACCCCCCCTCCCCTTGTCCCACAGTGTCCCTTAGTTACTTACTTGTATTGTAGTGTGGGCCGGCAGAACAGCGCGCACCGCGGTACAGGAACTTAAATTTCAGTTTCCGTTTTCCGGCTGGACTGAAAGTAAGTGTGCACACATTCCGTCCGGAAACTGAAATTTAAGTTTTGCTGGCCCACGCTACAATACAGGTAAGTTAAGCTTCACATTCGCTCCATAAGATGCACAGACATTTCCCCTCACTTTTGAGGGGGAAAAAAGTGCGTCTTATGGAGCGAAAAATACGGTAATGTGGTAATTTCTTGAAATTATCCTATCGCCCAACAGTTGTCTCAGGAGGTCCATTGTGGCCCTGACTACATGGACAGTAGCCCCATCCTGTTTATACCACACAACAGGACGTCAACACTTTTCAATCATATCCCCATATCTCAAACCACCACTGTCTGTTTCAAAGAAATGTGCAAAAAAAGAGTATAATGCGCACATTTTATTTGAAACAAGTGGAGACAAAGTTTCGTCTCCTAACTGAACTTCTATCAGAGAGGATATGAAACGTTATCTCCTCTTTCTTGTTTCAAATAGACTGCCTTTTAGAAAAAACCTCAGGTGTACCTAGAAATAATTTTTTTTTTTTTTTTCCATTTGATGTTTCAAAGAAATTATCCATGATGAATCTCCAAAAACTCAGTTATAATATTATTATTTATATAGCACCAGCAAATTCTGTAGCGCTGTAATATGTACCTGCAACAAAGAAAATTGAACTACTAACAAGTAATTTACCTGTCAAATGCAACTCTGAATTTTGGCCTTCCCTGTATTGGAAAAAGAGAGTTCTGAGTGTTAAAACCCTTTATTAAAAAAAAAAAAAAAGTGTCTTTGTATCGCTAGGCATGAATATGTATGTCGGGGGGGAAAAAAGGTGTGTGTGTGTGTGTGTGTATATTCCATAATGCTAAATAAGAACAGTTGTTATTGTAGATGTGCTAGACTTCATCATCTTTGGTTTTGGGGCATAGCCAATGGCATGCTCTGCAATATTTTTAGATATGATTGCCACCATCGCTGTGGGTTGAATATATTAGAACAAGGACTAATGTATTCATAGTTTTAGCCCACTTGGCCATTTTTTTTTATTTTTGAGCTTGTCATCTGTACATTTGTACTTTAATGTCCTCAAAGCAATTACGAGCCAAATGAATATCTTTAAGAGCTAAGACTTCCTGGTCTTCTGATGTTTGGCAAGTCTTGGTTAGTGTGTTGCTTGAATTATGCTGTTACTAATAAAAATTAACTCCTGGAAATTGTTTTATTAAGTCAACAGATGGGGTGCGATGCTCAGCGCGTCAGAAGAATCGAAGTTTATCAAGAGCTCCTACCTCATCTGACCATGAAGCAGAGACATGCAAGCGTACAAGGACAACAAACATGGTATGCATTTACTAGCTTATTAACACACTGTTTTTAACTGTTTGGGCTATGTATGTAGAATGTTCATAGTTAGATCTACTTTTCCAGTAAGTCTTTTTCTCATTTACTACTGGTTTTATTTTTTATTTATTTATTTTTAAAGGATGTGCCAGTAATTGATGTAAAGAGATAAAGAGGCTTATGGAGTAATAACCGCTATACCTATTAAATCTTGAAAATAAAACATTTTCATCAGCTTTTGGAAATGCTTACTAAAATGGATACATTTGTTTTCTTTTTTAGGTTAAAATTCTCTGAACTACAGCAATACGGCGTTTAGCTGTAGTGATATTTTATGAACCAAAATGGAAGGGAGTATAGCAAGGAATATTTAGGCAAATGTAGGGAAATACATAAATACACATTTAGGGAAAAGCGTCAGAAAAATTGTAAAATAGAACAGAAAAATATGGGCAACATAGATCTATTTAATGCATACGGAATTATTCCATAATGATATCGGTGTATAGAAGCCAAACCGTGGGCTCCCGAAAACCTAGGTAAGTGTCAAACCGTTTACCACCCTGTAGTGGTTACGGTGCTTAGTGCCACTTTAACCATATATAATTGATAACTTTCTATGTTTATATTTTACAACATTGTTTTTTTGGTTTTTTTTCTCATTTAAATCCAGTTTTGACTTATAAATGTACTTTATATGATTCACTTCCATTTTCCCTTCATATTCTGATTCTTCTGATTGCATCTCCAGCACAGAACCCTGAAATTCAACTCAATACAAATGCAAAGGATACATTTCGAACAGTTACTTTTAGGTCTCCAGTTTCTATTACATGTTGTACCAGAGCAGTAATGAGTGGCATTCTACCTACACTTCTTATAACCTTCTGCATTTTGGTTGTCTTAGCCTTATAAGAAACTTCGTATCTAGAGTGTGAAAGGGTTGCCAACAATAAGCCAGTGCTCTGTAGACATTTGGAACCTAAATTTGGGTCATTATGCTATGACATTGGTTTTCTACTGGTTGCCCAAGCGCAATCATACCTATTTTGAACTTAATTTGAGTCTGTTAAAGGTTAACGAGCACTGCTCAACACGAATTTTAACTACATTGTAGAGAGCCTTCATTTTTAATTTACCCCATAATTTTCAGTTATTCTCATCCTGACTTTGGAAGTGGGGTTAAATCAAATGCAGCAGAATATGTTCCTTGTTTACCATTACTCTTGCATGTTATCAAAACCAAATATGTTGGTTTGAAGCAAATTCTCTTTCTCTGCTTCACACTGCACAGAATGCTGCTTTTTTAAATCATTTCACAACTTTTCCTAACAAAGATGCCCAGAATACCTTTTATAGCTTGTACCATAAGGCGGCTATGGCAGGTTCATACATTGCTGCGCCAGAGTGTTGCAAACAAATAATTCTGCTAATATTTTTAGTCAGTTTGCAAGCTTTGTATTCCATAGCCTTCTCCCCTCCAACCCTACTTGCCGTTGTATCCCTACTTGCTTTTGTAATACATTGTCGGTTGATGTAATTCCTTGATCAGACTGGCAAAACAATTTAGATTGGTAGCAGGGATTGGTGAAGTCTGTGTCAGATTAAAACAACATTAAAACGTAAATATGAAACAGATTCTGAATATACATGGAGCTAGTAACAAAGTGGATTAATTATTGATCATCATGTTGAATGTGCCCTTTCACTAACATATAGGTATGTTCCTGATACGTCAGTGCCCATACCGAAAAAGGCATAAAAATACATTGTTCAGGGTTATTTAATGGAGAAAGCCTCATCTATTCAATAAGAGAGAGCTAAGTGGTTGCTACCTTCTTATTATTCTGCACTGTGCTGTTTTTGTCATATACCAAATAACCTTTTAAAAACTAAAATGTAAACTATAACTATACTACATATGTAATCTCTTTATAGTCTAATTAAAACCAGATCAGGATCTTTTGCAATTGATACTCTGTTTTGTTTTTTATATTGCCTTTGAACCTATTCTTCTCTCTTAACATTTTTGTCGGGGGAACAAATATCCGTTTCCTTATCATTTGAATTGATTTATAATTTTAATTTTTGTTGATTTTTTTTATTTTTTTTATTTGTGTTTTATATGAAAATTAATGTACTTGTGCTACAAATTTTGTTTTTGTTTGAGAGACCTACAAAAATGCAATATGTGTGTGACACTAATTCTGGCTTTGGAAGGCCTATGTTACCCAAGTGTAAAATTTCTCATGGAAAATTCACCCTATATTTCAAAATGCCAATTCACTTTTTAACTGGACCAACAATAATGCACATATTGCTGAATGGTTGCTGTAGTTCTTCACTGCTGAAGTATATTAAATTATATCATAGTGTATCGAGTTGACATTAATGGATAGTTCTGCAGCAAATGCCTATAAAATCTTGTAATGAAACCGGATTGCTAAAAATGTACCATGCACTCATTAAATGCTCTAGTGAAATTTATACTTTTATGTTTTTTTGTTTTATCTTGTCTCCTCCTTTAAGGCACCTTCACCCAAAGGCACAGAAAAACGAACTTCTAAAAAACAGAAATGTGATCATAAAAAAATGAAATATAATACACATGGACAAATTTGTGAAAGTGGCAGTCAGATTTTTGCCAAGAGCAACTCTCCATCTTGTTGTGATAACATGGGCTCGGAGAGAGCAGTAAACCAACCAAAGAGCAGGGGAAGAAAATGTCCAAAGACAAAGGTTCGTGCTACCGAACGCTCTTTTTCCAATAGCCTTGATTCCTCAAATCAAGGTGTAACGAATGTCACTGGAGATGGTTCTGTGTTTTCTGATATAACACAATCTGAAGTCACCAGAAGAAAGCGAAATATATCTGTCGATAGTAATCCATTTATTGACGAGGACAGCAACCAACCGATGCCATTGACGCGTTTCTTTGAAAATGCAGATCTTATGCAGGTACATTTTATTAAGTTTATTCAGAATATGATCATTTTGGTTCTGTGGTTAGCAGCTTAACCCCTTAGTGAGCAGACCGTTTTTCAATTTTCCTACCGTTGAGGACCAGGGCTGTTTTTACATTTCTGTGGTGTTTGTGTTTAGCTGTAATTTTCCTCTTACTCATTTACTCTACTCACACATATTGTATACAGTATATTCACTATTAAATGGTCTTTTTAAAGATACCATTATTTTCATCATATCATATAATTTACTATAAAAAAAAGACAAAAGTAAAAGAAAACACTTTTTTTTTTCTAACTTTTACCCCCAAAATCTGTTACTCATCTACAACCACCAAAAAAACACCTGTGCTAAATCGTTTCTAAATTTTGTCCTGAGTTTAGAAATACCCAATGTTAACATGTTCTTAGCTTTTTTTTTTTTTCAAGTTGTAGGGCTATAAGTACAAGTAGGACATTGCGGTTTCAAAATATATATTTTAAAATTTTCAATAGTGACATTGTAACACTGTTATCTGTCATAAATCTCTGAATCACACCTCACATGTACATATTTTTAAAAGTAGACAACCCAGGCTATTCATTATGGGGTATGTCCAGTCTTTTTTAGTAGCCACTTAGTCACAAACACTTGCATTTATATTTGTTTGTGTGTTAAAAATGCAGAAAAAATGTTTGACTAAGTGGCTAGTAAAAAAGACTTAACATACCCCATTTGCAATACCTTGGGTTGTCTTCTTTTGCAAATGGTATGCCATCATGGGGGTAATTCTCATTCCTGGGCTACCATACGCTCTCAGAGGCAACATAACCAATCTGGCAAATTTCAATGTTAAAAAATGGAAAATCAAGCCTGTCTGGGCTGTCCAGAACGGGAGCAACACCGATCACAGGCGGGGGAACGACGGCGATCGGGTCAGTACTAAGGAATACCGCAGACGTACTAGGTACATCCACAGTTTTTACGGACAGTTTTTGTCGAACATACCTAGTACGTCCGCGGTCCTTAAAGGGAAACTCCAGTGCCAGGAAAACAATCTGTTTTCCTGGCACTGCAGGTTCCCTCTCCCTCCCACCCCCCCAATCCCCGGTTGCTGAAGGGGTGAAAACCCATTCAGTAACTCACCTGAGGCAGTGACAAAGTCCCACGTCGCTGCTTCAGCATCCGCGCCGCTCCACCTTCAGACTGCGGCCAGTGGGCGAGACTGATCCCGCCCACCGGCCGGTTAGACCTAATGCGCATGAGTGGCAATGCCGCGCATGCGCATTAGCGCTCCCCATAGGAAAGCATTGAAAATGCATTTCAGTGCTTTCCTATGGGGAAATGAGCGACACTGGAGGTTCTCACACAGCGTGAGGACGTCCAGCGACGCTCTAGCACAGGTTTCTTGTGCTAGGAACCATGAAGTGCCCTCTAGTGGCTGTCTAGTAGACAGCCACTAGAGGTGGAGTTAACCCTGAAAGGAAATTATTGCAGTTTATAAAAAAACTGCAATAATTATAGTTGCAGGGTTAAGAGTAGTGGGAGTTGGCACCCTGACCACTCCAATGGGCAGAAGTGGTCTGGGTGCCTGGCGTGTCCCTTTAAGGGGTTAAGGAACAACCAACGTATTATAGCATAGGGAAAAGCTGCAATTGACATTTTATTAAAGGGATATGTATCCTTGTGAGACAACGGTCTCATTATAAAGGCAGAAAAAACTGGTTATATACAAATAACCCCACACCACCCACTAATACTTCTGATTTACATTGTTGTGATAGTTTAAAAGGCAAACACAGTTGTAACAGATAGCTAAGCTTGAGGACAGTAGGCGTTTCACTGTTTGGCCATGGGAGTTGCCATTAAATTGCAGCTCAAGATTTAAAAGTCACACTTACCTATATAATTTGCCGATTTGACATACATGTCTAAGCTTGGCTACTGATAGAAAAAGTAGGTATTTGTCATTTGGATTTGTTTATAAAAATCAGATTACCAACTACCAGCAAGGCAGGACATGTTGGGGACTGATTTTATAAGGGCTCTCCATTTTGAGGATAGTTTTTGTCCTGGCGCACATACCAGAACCTCATCCGTAACATTGAAAGCACAAGTAAGAATAAGCAGGTGAATATGAAAGTCATATTTATCTGCTTTTTTTTTTTTTTTTTTTCATGCAGAATGAGACAACTGTATCATTCAAAGCTAAAGCTTTTGAACAAGACCGTTCTCAAAGTGATGCATGTCCCTTTAAACCAGACACTAGGATCTTTGAAGATCATTGTAATCTTATATAAATACATGAACAGAGCTAGATTGCAATCACCTTAAATCTATGTTAACTAGTGTAGTTGAACCAGTCCATTTTATAAAAAAGAAATTGTGCAGAGGATATATTAGTAAAGATTGTATGTTTAAATGTGGGTCATGGAGTACTTTGCAGTAGTCTTTTGGAGAAGTACACAATACTCACAAAAAAAAAACCTTTTGACAATCTGTAGAATAAATTGTCAAATTTCTTTGGTAGTCTGATTATGACTGTGCTGTGGAACTGAAAATTATCTACACCCTGAAAACAACTGATCATGGTGTTTTTTGTTTGTTTTTTCCGAAATTAGGTAGCATAATTCCTCATGGTTTAACTTAAGTCACTCTTCCTAGTTTACAATTGGTCAGATGGAGACATTCATTTGGATTAACCCAGATAAAGTCTGTGTCTTAAAAAGTGGAAGCTGTTCCACAAAACCTCAGGGGCATGTTAAAATATATTTTGCTCTCTGATAAAATTATCAAAATCTATTGTGAATGTTAATCTGTATTCTCTTGCTTAACGTTTTGTGCAGAGAAGGGGATTTCTAATGCTTTGTTCCCTGGCAGTTCAGGGGGCCCCCTTGAATTCCTGGTAGTCCAGTGAGCTGCTATAACTGCAGGGCAGCCAGTGGCATCTAGGCAGTGTTCATTGTCTATACGAAGAGCTTGCTTCTAGAGTGTGTCCTAGGATTTCACTATGTCACTATTGACGTTGCAAGACTGTTCAGTTGCACATGTGCAACCAAGTTATGCATGCGCAGTACAATTTTCCAGGATCCCTAGGGATTGGACACTGGTTAGATCAGTGTCTCACCAGAGGTGGACGTGGGAAACCCAGGCAAGACAACAACAACAAAAAATCCTATTTACCTAGTTCTTTTGCCTGCAGAATGAAACAAATCTTTCATCCAAAGAAATTACAGTTGCCTCAAAGGCATGCATGTCCCTTAAGTATTATGGTAAAAGACTGATCTGTATAGTAAAATGTAATTGTTTGTACCATGGCTACTTTAGGAAATAAAAGTAAATGGATATGTGGTTAGAATGTAGATGGCTTTACACCAAGGTGCACTACCACACGTTACAAAAAAAATCAATCTTTTACCCCACACCTTTCCCTCGTCTTATATCCTTATTTTTTTCTTTCTCAAATGCCGCAGATGGTTGTATTGTTATACGTGTAAGTAACTTTGTCATTGGTTCTGATGCAAAAACATGTCGAGGAAAATACATGCTCCAGTAGTATTGTATGTTAATATTGTAGCTAGAGTGTTTCCCAAATCCCATACTTGCCCAAAAATCAACAGTATTTCCTGAAAGTTAAGCTGTCTAAATTTCACATTTTTCCAGTAGCAACTGCAGTGACTGAAACCTCCGTGGCTGTGATTTTAACTGTTGCATTTGTTTACTCTAAAGGACATACCACCAGTCATGCCTTCTTGGGCTTTCATGAGCAGAAGGCAGGTCAGAAATCTTCATTTTCGAGCAAAAGATGACGACGATGATGAAGAGGACGACGAAGATCAGGAAGTCACAGTCCATAAAGATAATGTGTAAGATGCAGCTACATTTGAAACATGAACACAGTAAACATAATCTATTAAGATTAAAAGAGTTGCAGGATTTAAGCCTGAACAGCGGTAATTTATTGTATTAACAGAATTGCTAAATAAGACACATACTTAAAGTAAAACAGGCCACAATTTTATTAATTTATTTTTAATCACCCCCCCTTGCCATCTATGTATAATTCAATATCTTGACGCTGCCATTTTGTTCTCCTCTGTTCGTGACATCTGCAGTTTCCCTTCTGTGAGATTCTTTAGACTTATGAATTGTTGGTAAATTAGCTTTGCAGCTGAAACAGAACCTTAAAGGGGCACTATAGTCACCAGAACAACTACAGCTTATTGAATTTGTTCTGGTGAGTAGAATCATTACATTCAGGCTTTTTGCTGTAAACACTGTCTTTTCAGAGAAAATGCAGTGTTTACATTACAGCCTAGTGATAACGTCACTGGCCACTCCTCAGATGGCTGCTAGAGATCCTTCCTGGGTCATGGCTGCCTAAAATGCATCCAAACATTGTGTCTCCACCCTCTGCATGCAGACACTGAACTTTCCTCATAGAGATTCATTAATTCAATTCGCTGATTGGCCAGGGCTGTGTTTGAATTCTTCTGACTCTGCCCCTGATCTGCCTACTTGTCAGTCTCAGCCTATGGGTAAGCATTGTGATTGGATCAGGCCACCACTTCTGATGATGTCAGAGGACGTTCACAGGCAGAGGCAGCAGCTTCAGACTTGAATAAAAGTAAGATTTTACTATATCTAGGAAGGCAAAAGGGGCCAAGGGGGCTAAATAGGGGTTTGGACACTATAGGGTCAGGAATACATGTTTGTGTTCCTGACCCTATAGTGCTCCTTTAATTAATCTGTCCATTGCTAAAAGTCACGCTGAACATAAGGAAAAAGTAGTACCTACTTTTTCTTATGTAAAAAAAAAATATATGTGTGTGTATGTATATATGTATATGTGTGTGTGTGTGTATGTATATGTGTGTGTGTGTATGTATATGTGTGTGTGTGTGTATGTATATGTGTGTGTGTATATATGTATGTATGTGTATATATATATATATATAATGTGTGTATGTATATTTCTCTTGTTTATTATGAAAGTCAATGGAGAAGTGGATGCATATGCAATAGATCCACCACAGTTTCCCTTTTTGGTATGGAAAATAAAGAATATTTATATGAAAATGTTGAATAGTAAACGGTATTTTAGGGCATCTCTCCATTAATTTGTAATTGTTATTCATTAATCAGTGAAAATGTGTTGGTGGCTCTGTTTTGCACATTTATATTTCCCCATTGACTTAGAGGGACGATCTAAGCACCAAAACTACTACATATTAAATGGTTTCCCTGCACAGGTGCATTGTCCCCTTGGACAAAGTAAAACATTGCTGTTTGAGTGGCAATTTTTCTTTTTTTTTTTTTCCTCCTTTGTAGATTTCACCCAATCAATAGAGGCACTTCCTCCTTTTGACCTTTTAGTTTCAAAGTTCTTAACATTTAGCTTCACACACATCGTATAATGACTATTTTTCATAGTTAAGCATTGAATTCCATGCTTTTCTATAAGGGTCATCAAGTTGGTTGACTTTGGCAGTTGGTATGCCTGTGCCTTATGTCTTCAATGCTTCTATTTAAACATTGGATTGAACAGAGACCTTCAATCCTGGTGATATTACAGAAAGTGGAGTTGCGAGGAGACTCTCTCGCCGCTGGATAACCATTTGAAAAAAACACAAAACAAAGAGGCTCTGTATCTAAAGCATGGACCACTGTAACATTAAAAATAATTGTACTTGTATATTTACAGTTTAATTTTAGAGTGTTACTTTCTTGGAGAGTTGGCACTTTGCGGCCAGAGTTGTAACTCTACCTCCAGTAGTATTAGCCTGCTGGCGTCAAATGACCAATCCCCGTTGGTCCCTCCTGTCGGGCTATTCTTTGGGATATCCTTTCCCCTGCAATAAATGGGAGTGACATCACTGGAGGAGGTTCAGATTGAAAATGCATGTCAGCAAATGGGGTGTCTGTCTGTGTGTATATATGTGTGTATATGTATATATATATATATGTATGTGTGTATGTATGTATGTATGTATGTATATATATATATATATATATATATATATATTTGTATATTAACAATGGATTTGCCCCCCTTCTTTGGGCTCTGTGCCTTTAACACAGTAGGAATTCTGGGTTTTTGTGGTCTACATTTAGATGTCAGCTGCTGCTACAGTTGTGCTTTATATGAATATCTCGAGATTTATGTTAAAAATAACTTCCTCACCAGAGGAGGATCAGGCTGCTAGGAGAACTTTGCCTTGGCATTGTAACGAAGGTACGTTTTTAGCATTATTTTATTTTTAATTTTAGTAAGGGGGGCAGACTAGTTAAGTCTATGTTGTTAAACACTTTGTATAGGGCAGTGGCTTAATGACCCCATTCTTTTTTCAGAATATTTGGTATATGACCTATTCAAGCTGGAATTGACCTGATTTTCATTATATATTTAACGCACGTGTATGTCCTGAGTGTCCTGTGATAGAAATTCCCCATCCCTCACTACTCCAATACACACACTTGTGCCTCAGAAAGTATATTAGCTGTGATATTATAACACACACATATATTGCAGATATTTTTGTTTTTTTCCTTTAGGTAAACAATCATTGCCTTGCAGACACCTCTGAAGCTGAACGTACACACATCCTTGCCTTCTCCTTGAGTTTTACAGGAATTCATCTTTGTGAAAACCAAAGTGTTGTCCCAGGAAGATTGATTGTTTTTAGAACATTACCTTCTGCCAACTTTTAATTTATTTAGAATGAATGACATTTAAAATTTGGGGTGCACTATGATTGGGGGGGGATGGAGTCATCATAGAAAGGGGTTAATATGGATCCATGCTATCCTTTCTTTTGGTCTGGGGGACATATGCACAATTGATGCTCCTCTTTCAAGCCTACATCATAGTGTCGTTCTTGTGGAAAGTTAATATGGTCGGTGGTGGCTTTAAATTTGTTCAAAATCTAGTATTGTCAAAGTAAATACAGAGCTTAAAATTTGGACTTTAACAATTATTTGTCACTGCAAGCCTGGAGGATCTATTTCACATTCTCAAGAGGTGAATTTCTACTCACAAGGGCTAAATATTTGCTCATCAATTGCTAGTGATGAGTGGAAATGTTAAGCCACGGTACACACATATATTGGTGTAAAAGGGGTAAACGCCATTTCTTTGATATAGGTAGCCCTATTGTTAGACACCCTTGAATGGGTACAGGGTGGTCCAGTCTCTGTACTGCTGTACAGGTTTTTGTTGACAGACTGTCCGTGTGCCCTGGGATTGAGTATAGTTCGCCTTTTTATGGTTGTTAAACATGAGTTAAAATGTGTAAAATGGCACCACTGTTTTGATGTTGCTTTATATTTGAGATGGGACTAGTGGTTGTCCATGTTAAAGCTCTAAATTATGAGGAGCACCAAATTGCAAACCTTAATGTGCCTGACTTAAAAATAGGTCCATTGATTGTATGTCAGGCAAATTCTACATTGCAGACTGCTTTGTAATTGTGCGATGTCTAATTTATATTAAATTAGTTTTGTAAAAGATATGTGCCTTTCTAAACCCTGTCAGCTATATTTTGGCCACACTTTAGGGTCATTTACACTATAAAAAGTAGATGTTTGGGGATGCTATTTAGAGGAAATAATGGCTTTTCTAAAAAATTATCTAAACTGGTCTCTAAAGAGAAGCAATTCTGTACGAGCATAGAGGGAGAGTGCTAAAGGGCTTTAATAATGGGATTTAAATATTTAATATTGTATATAGATGTTATTGCAGACATTTTTTATATCATTTTCTTTTCTAACATGTATACAAAGATTTATATGTAGAGTTCTACCTAAAGAGTTATTGAATGATTATAAAAACAAAGAATAATTGTGTTTTTCCTTTTTATTCTGGCTTGAGGACACTTCCTTCCATTAAACATAATGAAATTAATTCCTTAAACTGATCTTCCTCCTACAAATTTGCTCAGTGGAATAGCATAGGATGTGATTTTCTTATGATTATTTGAGTCATGCAAATTGCTCAGTGAAAGAATGGTGTTTCATATTCCATATTTTCATGCTATGGATAAAAGAAGGGGGAAAAACATTCTTAAATTCAATTTAGTATAGCCAATGGTTTGATATTTTTCCCCTATTTTTAAAGGATTCATCATAATTTAATAAAGATGTATGTTATACACATACATATGTGTGTATGTAAAAGACCAAGATCTAAACACACATTTCTCCAGAATTTGGTACCTCATTGCAACACACAAGGTTCACACATATATTTCTTGATGAGTCGCACACAGGACTTATGTGAATCACAGTCTCTTCTTTATTTACCAAATAGTTACAGGTCTAATCAGTCTCTCTCTGTCATTTATCAAGAACTTCTGATCCTCTTACAGAACATTTCATAATATCCAAAGATGTTATATAGAACTCCAGTAGAGTTGAATAGTTTCAATCAGGCAGGGTAAGTTGTTGCTTGTGTATACCACAATATACTGATCAATAACTCACTTGAAGAGGAGGTTCAAATGCTATGGCTGATGAAAAATTCATTCTTACAGTACATCTGGAATGGTATATAGTGAAAAACTTTTTTAGGAATATGCCAATTTCCCTCAACTAGCACCACCATAAAACACCACCAAACACAATTAGCAGACACACAACTGCCAGTATGTAATGAATTCCCTTCACTGCTAAATATCATTACAGATAAAGATTAGGCTTATAGTTACTTTTACTATAAAAGAAGAGTTTTAAAATTTGGTAGCATTTTTATTTATTTTTTAATTCTTTAACACGAAGCTCAGTATACATTTGAACAATATTACGCTGTTGTGAAGGAAAACATTCCTGATTATGGGTATTTAGGTTTTATAGAGCAGATTACAGCTATGTCTAGGGCTTTTTAGAATCTGATGGTCATTATGGTTGTCTAGATATAACACATGGTTCAATACAGATATTTAAAGAGTTGGCTGGTAATTGGGATTAAATAAGATGAGTAGACACAGCTCCACTGGTTGGAAATAGGAAGTGAGCCATGAGATTTGAGCTAGGGGGTGGGCAGTGTTTCAACTTAGGAGCTATCGTAGCTGGGGCATTCCCGGTATCGGCCCTTTCAGGGCTCTTGGATACGGTTGGTACTGTGGGCATGGTAGGCTATTGGCGTACACGAACAATAAAATAAACTGAAAACCGTATTGGTTCAACAGTAAGAGTGTGTGTATATATAAAAAGAAAAGGTAGATATTATGAGTCGGGTGACCGCCGTCTTCGTTGCTGGAACAAAAGGGATGACATTAGCAGGATCCCAGATCGTGATTGCGGGTGGGTTGATGTTGTCTAGACCCAGCATTCCGAGGGTGGCTTCAATCTCCGAAGCGTCATACACCCGGTGTTCTGTATTCTGGTGCTGAATGAGGAGCAAGCGGGGCAAACCCCAGCAGTACTTGATGTCCTTAGTAGTCATGGCGGCTGTCAGAGACTGGAGAGATTTCCTTCACAGCAAGGTTGCGTGTGAGAAGTCTCTGAAGAAAGTGAGGTCCATGTCCTCAAAATGGTATGGGGATTTCCCTCTGGTCGCATTCAAAAACGCCACTTTATCTTGACCATTCTGGAATTTTATTAGCAGGTCGCTGGTGGTGGAGGTTGTTGCCATCTGTGGTTTAGGGAGACGGAACGTTCCATCTAGCAGTATGCCTTTTGCCATTTTGGGGGGTAGCAGGGCTGCGAACAGCCTGCGCAGTAAGTGTGGCAATTCTGCTGCTGTTATAGTGTCACAGTTCCCTGGTTTTGGTTTTGACTGTATTTTATCCTCCATTGCTGCCAGTTGGAGGCCTATGCTAGTCTGTGTTGTAAGGTCACAGACCTGTTTCTGCAGCTCCAGGATTTGGGTTGTTTTGCATGGTTGTAGTCTTCTCCACAGCCTCCAAGCATGTAGTAAAGCCCCTGACATCCTCTCTGACATGTGCTATTTCTGCTGACAGAGTTTGACGGAGGTCTGCCAGGAGACTAGTGAGTATTGCTGTGGTAACTGTAGGTGAAGCTTCCACCTTTGGTGGACTGGGTTTGGGTGGTCCACAGTAACCCTAGTCTCCGATGGTGTGAAGGGGGTAATCTTCCAACTCGTCGGAAAAGTCAGCAAGGTCCGCCACTATATTAGGTCTGTTCCCGCCTTGCGGCCTCCACAGTAGGTCACCAATATCTGTGGAATAACTGGGCCTATCCGCCCGCTTTTTTTTTTTTTGCCCCATCATAGGGGAGATTCTTCCCAGTCGTCGGTGGGTTATTTGTGCCTTTTGGGGTGCTTTAAATCGGGTCACTATGTGATGCACCAACGGAGCTCCACAAACCTGCGGCCGCCTTGGTCGAGAGCTAGGTACGCCCCCCGGAATTTACATTTTAAGCATATTTAGTTTCTCTGATGAAAGTGTTTTTTTATTTTTTTAAATGCAAAAAAAATTTTTTCATCCATCTGTTTCAGTCACAGCCGGAGAGGTGTGGCTATGAGTTAATTCACAAAATTTAACTCCTAAATGGCAGAGAATTGAGTGCTGAAACTGCAGGGACATGATCTATACACAAACTGATTTAATTCAACTGAAGTTATGGCGTTTGGAATGTTCCTTTTAATGTTTTTAGATGAGTTGAAACACAGGGCATACGAGATACATAGATGCATGAATCTTCTTTTGTCCTGCTTGTCATCAAAACAGTGGCAGCCAACCGGATGCACTTCAGATGTGGAATAATGGAACTCCACAACTGCTATAATGCCAAAGGTTTGCTACCTCTGATAATGAAGTTCTTCCATTAGTGCCTTCTGTGTCAAAGTTTTAACATTGTTAAAATTAAAAAGTGATGCATATGGTTTGTATAGAGTTCTGCTTGACATGTGATGATCACGTCACCTTTTTTCCAACTTATACTAAATGTATAGCTAGGGGCTCTATTAACATCGCTGTATCTCTGAAATATAGACAAAATCTGCTTAAAACAAAGATTAATCACTATGAGAAATCTATACACAACTTAGATAAATATGTATTTTTGTACAAATTACGTTCTGATTTTAGTGATAAAAGCACATTTTGGTAATGATAAAGTGCAGAACAAATAAATCACAAAGATGTTTAATTATCAATCAAGGTCTGATGGAACTTGACAACTGAATTGTAAAACGGGATGAGACAGAATCTTGCATACAGTAGACTGGAATTTATTCATTTTTTTTTCTCAATTCTAGTAAGTTGTCAAATTACCAATTTTCACTGCATAGTGAAGAATTCCTCAATAAATTCCCAGATACCTATCCTGTGGGTGCATCTTTTGTTCTCAAATTATGAATCACTTGTGTTATACTTAAATGCAAAATGTAAATTACTAGTTTTTGACTAAGCATTTCTGCTTGCATTCTTTAAAAAACTGTGTTTGAACAAAAAATATATAATCTTTCTTTGACTGTAATGTACATAGTTTGGTTTGTTTTGGTTTTGTTTTTTTAATTGCTTTTCTACACACAGTGCTTTAGATGTGTTGAGTCTGTGTCGTAAATCCGTCCAAAGCAAAGATTGTATGATTCAGCTGATGGCGCAGTTACAATACACCGAGCATGTGTACGACTTGTTAGCAACAATGTATAAATTGTGTTGTGACATTTCCACTTTTTTCTTTGCTCAATAAAATGTTTATCTTCAAAATTGTTTGGTGTGGATATCTTTACACACTATGGGTATAATCGTTACAATTCTGAATGTACGTTTAGAAGAAATATGCAAAGTGTACAATTCTAAAACAATAATACACCTTAATTTTGGATATATGCAGCATTATTCACTTTTGGTTTGGCTACTTTGGCATTAAATTTGAAATTCACTTGGACTTTTCACTTTTGTAAATACCATTTTTAAGAGTAAAAACTGTCTGGAATTTTGTAATTCTAGTAAATCTAGACCAAAACAGTTGTAACTGCAAGCATAGTAGGCTATGGGAATTTTACAGTTTGGCTATTTAGCCTTAGATCAGAAATTCACTTAGAATTTTCACTTTTTTGAATAACCGTAATCTGTGTTCTTGGTAGTTTTACTCCTAAATGAGCCCATGATAAAAGCTGAAGGCCCAAGTCAGATGCAAAATCTTCAACTTTGTGTAAATCTGCATTAGAGATACAAACTGTTCTATTACATGGTGTGAGCGGTTTTACAGCTGGTCTTACTAAAATAATTTTGAAGGAGTAAATTACAAATTCTAGTTCCAGCAGTGTGTCCCATTTCCAATATTTCTGCTTTCAGATATGAACTTCAGTCCGCTCATCTGCTATCAGAAACCCGTAACTATTATGTCTGTTTTATATATATTTGTAAAGTGCTTTGAATCTCACAGGGAGAAAAGCGCTATAAAAAATCACAAATTATTATTATAACTTTATTATTACCATATTTAAAATTTGTATAAATTTAAAATGGAGTGTTAGAAATTATGCTTTCACTGAAATAATTTAATAGGATTACTTTTCAACATAACCACCATGACCACTTCAGTAAATTGAAGTAGTTATGGTGCTTGGAGTCCGTATGTGTGTGCAGTGTTTCAGTTTTCAGCTCTTTGCTGCCAAAGGTGGCATTCCACCTCCAACAGCATTATTAGCCAGCTGGCTAGTGTTAGCTCTGTGCATATTTGGCATCATGTTATAACTAGTGGCAGCACAGCCCCACGCTCTATACTGCCCAAGTCCTCACTCTCAACCCATCAGTGAGGTGGAGGAGGATTGGACTCCAGGGAGAACTTGGCCTTGGCATGGGATTACAGATACGTTTACCTTTTCTTTTTGGGGAGGGGAGTGGGGGCATGCTAGCATTGGTTACTACACCCACTGAGTAACCCTCTTACTCCGATTCACAGTGTGTAAAATATAGCTTTAGCTAATCAAAGTTCAGAGATATTCAGCTGCCACCCTACCATAGTGTGTTTTGTGCGGGGGGAGGGGGGGGTGGAGGGGTTTACCTAAGCATTTATTTAGAAGATAAGTCCTAAAACATAAAGATGCGAGTGTTGAATCTTAACACGCATTGTTTTACTTATGAATGGAAAACCTTTCTTGCTTATGTCTAAGAACTAAATGATTGTCCTGTGTTCTACTCTGCTTAAACTCACACTTGATTATAACTCTTTCTAACACAAGGGCAAGCTCTATATACCTCGCAATCCTCTGGAAAAGCCAAAGCAGTACTATAAATATGATTCAACCTCATCTGCCAACATAATGTGGACTAGCTTTGCATGTGTGCTCTCGGAATCCAATTCAGGTTTTATATTTGTAGAAGAGTAACACTTGACATTCATTTAAAAACCAAAAAATAAATAAAAAATCAGATGTAGTCATTTCCATCTTACAAAATGAAAGAAAAATGCAACTTCTGAAATTAGGTGTCCTTGTGTGTGTGTGTGTGTATGTGTATGTGTGTGTATGTATATATATATATATATATATATATATATACCCAGCATTCAATGGATTTCTTGGACCCAGAGAATTTACCATCATCAATTCCAAAAACTCCCATCTCTGCCTTAATGTATCAAATATCAAGAAGCATGACAACTTTTATCTATTCTCATTACCCCTCACCAAAGCATACCTTACTATCCTAACTTTACACAGGGCTTTTCTTACTACACATAATGCAATACGTAAGACTGTTATTAATGAGGCTTAACTTAAACCCCATAAACTATTCAGGCCATTCATTTAGAATGCACATAGAGTAGTAGAGTACAAATAATTAAATTTGTATTTACTGGTAAAACTCACAAGATAAACTTGTATAATGGGCACATCAAAATGCATAGATGCCCTTTCACAGGTGAGTGCTTCCACTTAGGATATCTTCAACACGTGGAAAAAGAAACCGGACATGGTGCAGTATTTCAAAACCACACACACTGCTTTAATAATTAAAAATTTACAAGAAGGACAATTTAATAGTTCAATAAAGTTCTGAAAGCAATTGGTTCATAGCCTTAAATCAGATGTTGTATGGTATTTAAGAAAGAAGAAAAAAAAAAAAACAAATCCAAAAGAAAAAAAAAACAATCCAGAGCAAAATTAAAATTGAAAAGCTACCAAAGTCTTAAAATAAATGTACGTTAAAATACAAAAGCCCTACACATTTCGACTGCAAGACCGACTTCTTCAGGGAAAACACGTTCTGTTAGTGTCAGTAAATGTAGCACAAGTCTCTCCACCATCTTTGAAAGCTATTGGCTCTCATAGCCAGATTCCCTTCAGCTAATCTGTACTTTCGGGAAGTAGTTGTATTCAATCTGTAATCTTTTGTGAGTTCCACCTACGGCCGTGTTGGAACACATATGTATGTCAGCTGTAAATTAATTGCTTGTTTCATGTTATTAAATGGGGATTGGGATGCATACGTCTTCCAATGACATTATCAAGCGGCAATTTCCAGTCATCTTCAAAACATCTCGTAGCTGAGTTTGGAACGCATGTACATTCAACCTGCATCAACTCCATTTTAAAGTGCCAGTTCAAAATATAAGAAGTCTCAAAATATGGAGCAGAGACATCAATTTGGCTTCCTTGTTGATTGCCTCCCAAGACATCATAGAGAACTAGGCATACTACTATGGAGACTTGTCAGTAATTTTGAAACCTGTTGACCCCATAGTCAACAAAACTGACTATACCCAAATCCATTCTGGATTTAGGTCTATATAGAAACGTCATCTGTTACATGTACCCATATAATATGGAAGACCTAGATCTCTATTTTACATAAAAGGTGGACCTGGGTCACAGGTATGGTGGTTATACGTTCTTTGACTATCGCTAATCTTTTTAGGCCAGCTTTGGCACAAGTCAACACCTGTTCAGATCAGAGCCTGTTAGACAGACCTATAGTGTGGTCATTTTGCAGGCATTAAACCACTGTCTTTTCGCACCTTTTAACTCCTACTTCACGATTTAATTTCTATCGAACCCAGTACACCCACTAATAGTTGTTCTACCTCTTGTTTCAACAGAGTTGAACACAAGAACTTAAAGACTAATTGGGCAGGCAGGTAAGGTGCAATCTGCAACATTTTCAATACTGGTAATTGTCTTGTACGTAAGTGACAGGCCACGTTGCTTCATTATTTTGATGATTTTCAGTAGAGGAACCTAATTCTATATCCAAAAATATGCAAAAGACCTTGCATCTCTTTTCATCTCAGAGCATGCCACTGTCTTGAAAATAAACCATAGGCTCCTCCTCCGGTTTCATTTTCCTGGGTACACAACTGGATACTCAACGTTGCAGTCCAGCTGCTGAGGGACACTATAATGTTAGGAATTCAGTTTTGTATTGCCATCCGGTCTGCAGCTTCTGCATGTGGTAAAGGTCTCGCAAGTTCCGACATTTGAAGTGTCAGAGCGCTGTCGTGGTAATGCTCTGTTTAATCGCACTCGCAAGACCTCTAGCATATGGTCTGCGGTTCTGCATCCGTCAGAGCTGAAGACCAGAGAGGATGGGAACTCTCTCCATGGAGCACACAGACTGAGTGCAACACACAGGGCAACCTGCCGGGCCCTTTCGTGGTGTCAGGCCCTCGGTCAAGAACAGAAGACCTGACCGATCAGTCTGCCCTAAGGTGAATTAGGGGGCCATGAGGCCCCAGTCAGCACAGGGCCTTAGACGGGCACCTAAGTCACCTAGTTAGAAAGCCACCTCAGCTCACAGGTCTGTAGTTCCCAGGATGAGCTTTTGAACCCTTTATTAATAAAAGCCTTGTTTATAAAACAAACAATTTAGAAAATCTTGTTTTTGTATCCTTTATTGCTGGGAAAAATGTAGTTCAATGCTATTTGTTAAATACTAACAGAAATAAATAATAGAATATAACCTTTATTAAACGAATAGTCAAGATTACAGATACAGTAAAACTAAAATGTTATTCAAGGTTAGATTAATATTGTCACATAAGTGATGTTAAACAAATAATGTGCAGCTTTACATTCCCTTAGCTTTATCGCCATCTCATGGCTGTTAGCACTTGGTGCGGTACTACCTGCATTAGTATGTTTGGAGACTCTAGTTTTATATGTGTTAAAGGGACACTGTAGGCACCCAGACCACTTTAGCTCATTGAAGTGGTCTGGGTGCTGTGACCCTTTTGCACTTAGTGCTGCAATGTAAACATTGCAGTTCTAGAGAACTGCAGTGTTTACATTGCAGCTCTAAGTCAGACAGCCACTGGGGATGCTTCCAGAATCCTAACAGACCTTTGGTCCGTTTTCCCTATAGGAAAGCATTGAAGCATGTGCATTAGGTCTCCCCCGCCGGCTGATGTCAGCGGGTGAGGAGCAGGGGCAGAGCCTGACCCAGCATCGAGGGACATCAGCACTGGATTCAGGGTTTTAACTCCTTCGGCCCCCGTGGGAGGGTTTATTTTCCTGGCAATATAGGATCCCTTTAAAAGGCAGCCAAGGCGTTAATACGGATAAAACAGGGCAATATATTCATTGCGGATTATGCCATAGAATTCCGCATTCTAGCGGGTGAGGTAGATTGGACAAATAGTGGTTTGGTTACAGCATTCTCAGAAGGGCTGTCTGAAGCTTTACTAGACTAAACAGCCGCTAAAGACCTACCAGACTTAGTGGAAGACTATATTGTCTATATGATGGATATAGATAAACACC